GTTGAGATAATCTTATGATTTTTGTTTTTTAGTCTATTAATATGGTAAACTATAATGATTGGTTTTGGCATGTTGAAACAGCCCTGCATTCCTAAGGGTAATGTATTATCTTTTTACATGTTGCTGGTTTCAACTTGATAAGATTTTGTTAATAATATTTGCCTCAAAAAAAAATTTGCCTCAATGTTTATGAGAGATGCTGTTTTGTAGTTTTCTGGTGTTATCTTTGTCTGGTTTTGGTATGTCCAATAATGCTGATGCAGCGTTCAGAGAATGAGATGGGAAACACTTCCTCCTTTTTTTCTGGAAGAGTTTGTGTAGAATTGGTATTATTTCTTCCTCCAAAGTTTGGTAGAACTTACTAGTGAAGCCATGTGGACCTGAAGTTTTCTTTGTGGGAAAGTTAAGTAAATTCATTGTCTTTAATAAATATAGAATTATTCCAGGTTATATGTTTCTTTTTGAGCTTTAGTACTCAGTGTCTTTTAAAAATATTGTCCATTTCATCTACATTGTCAAACTTATTGGCATAGCATCTTGTTTATAATGTTCTCCACATCAGCCACCTTTACCATTCTTTTTTAAAAATAGTTTTATTCATTTATTTGTTATTTTTTATTGTGCTGGGTCTTCATCACTGCTTGGGCTTTTTTTTTTCTTCTCTAGTTGCAGTGAGCAGGGACTACTCTTTAGTTGTGATGTGTGGGCATCACATTGACATGACTTCCCTTGTTTTGGAGCACAGGTTCTAGAGCATAGGCTCAGCTGGGCTTATCACTACGTGACATGTGGGATCCTCCCAGACCAGGATTCAACCTGTGTCTCCTGCATTGGCATGTGGATTCTTTACCACTGAGCCACCAGGTAAGCTCCACCTTTATCATTCTTGATATTGATCATTTGCATTTTATTTTTTTTCCTGATCTGTTCTATCTAGAGGATTGTACATTTTGTTTATCTTCTGATTTTAGTTGAAGCATGTGGGATCTAGTCCCCTGATCAGGGATTGAACCTGGGTCCCCTGTGCTGGGAGTGCAGCGTCTTAGCCACTGGACCACCAGGGGAGTCCCTCTTTTTCTGTTTTCTGTTTCATTTCTTTTCACTCTGATCTTTAAAATTTCTTGTGCTCACTTTGGTTTGCTCTTCCATTTCTACTTTAAAGTAGAAACTGAGGTCCTTGATTTGAGACATTTTTTATTTTCTTTTTTAATTAATTATTTATTGAAATATAGTTGGTTTACAATGTTGCATTAGTTTCCGGTGCACAGCAAAGTGACTCAGTTATACATATATATGTACACATATGCTTTTTTATATTCTTTTCCATTATAGTTTTTTACAGGATAGTGAATACAGTTCCCTGTGCTCTATAGTAGGACCTTGTTGTTAATCTATTATAGCAGTTTATATCTACGGATCCCTAACTCCTAATTTATCCCTCCCCCACTCTCTTTCCCCTCTGGTAACTGTAAGTTTGTTTTCTACAGACGTTTATTATTTCTAATATGGGCATTTTAGTGCTGTAAATTTCCCTCTATGTGCCGCTTTAGCTGCATCCCACAAATTTTGATACATTTTAAAAGACATTTATTTGCTTGGCTGTGCTGAGTCCGAGCTGCAGCATGTGGGGTCCTTGCGGCACGCGGCCTCTTCAGTTGGGGCGGTGGGCTTTGCTGCTCCCCAGTATTCAGGATCTTATCTCCCCGACTGGGAATTGAACCCATGTCCTCTGCACTGCATGGCAGACTTCCAACTACCGGACCATCAGGGAAGTCCCTGACATATACATATATGTATTTTTTTCTTTTCTTTTTGTTTAACATTCTTTCTTATCTTTTTATTTTATAAACATACATGAATTTTTTCTTTTAAGGCTGCACTGCAAAACTTCCAAGGATTGAACTTGGTCCCTTAACAGTGAAAGTGCAGAGTTCTAACCACTGGACAGCTAGGGAATTATCTATTTCACACACATGCACGTGTGTGTATTTATTTGTTTTTGTCTGCACAGGTCTTCAGTGCTTTGCTTGACTTTCTCTAGTTGCCGTGAGTGAAGGCTACTCTTCACTGTGGCGCAGGGGCTTCTGTTGCAGAGCACAGGCTCTGGGCGAGAGGGGTTCTCTAGTTGCAGCACGCAGGCTCAGTAATTGCAACTGGAGGACTTGGATGCTTCATGGCATATGCAGTCTTCCCAGACCAGGGATTGAACCCTTGTCCCCTGCATTGGCAGGCAGATTCTTATCCACTGCACCGCCAGGGAAGTCTTATTGTTATTATTTTTAAATTTGTTTGCCTGCACTGGGTCTTAGTTGTGGCACACGGGATCTAGTTCTCTGGTCAGGAATAGGAAATCTGCATTGGGAGTGTGAACCACTGGGTCTTAACCACTGGACCACCATGGAAGTCCCCACACATATATTATTTAAAGTGTGTTGTTTAGTTTCCAAATATTTGGGGATTTTTCAGGGATCTTTCTGTTACTGATTTATCATTTAATTCTATGTGGTCCAAGAACATACTTGCAATTACTTAAAACTTTTAAGTGATAGAGGCTTATTTTGTGGTTGAGAATATGGTGTTACATGGTAAATATTTCATATATATGTGGAACTAAGGTATTGTTCTATTTTAACCACCATGGTTTTGTTATTATTATTTAGTTACAGCTGTAGTAATTTGGAGAGGGTGGAAAAGCTATTGTCTTGACTCAGAAGATGTCTGTTTGATGTCTTCAAGCTCCAAGGGCAGTCTCCGTCTCGTTTACCTTTCTGTGTGCTCAGTCGCTCAGTCGTGTCTGACTTTTTGCAACCTCATAGACTGTTGCCCGCCAGGCTTCTCTGTCCATGGGATTCTCCAGGCAAGAATACTGGAGTGGGTTGCCATTTCCTTCTCCAGGGGATTTTCCCGACCCAGGGGTCGAACTTGCATCTCCTTATGTCTCCTGTATTGGCAGGCGGATTCTTCAGCACCCAGCCACCTGGGACCCTCACCATATTCCCGGCCCAAACTGAAAGCTCAGTAGACATTGGTTGAATAAATGGATGACAATTAGAAATGGTCCAGTTGTGTTCTGGCTTTTTATTTAAAAAACAAGATTATTGAGTCATGTGAGTGAGTCTTATGCACCTTTGTGTCCCTGCAGGACTTTGTGTGGTGCTTGGCACATCATGGGCGCTCAAGCAGCATTGATGGCACTGAATGGACCCAAAGAGACACCTACAAAGGCACCGCCTCTGACTGGTGGGGATTGACATCCACCCCGAGGCGATGACAAGCTACTCTGGTCAGAGCTGGAGAGGTTGTCCTGTCATAAAGCCCCCAAAGACATGATGTCACACACAGACACCACTTGTGAAAGGGAGGGGCTGTGTGCTGGACTCCTGGGTGTAGCTGTGCTTCAGTGCCCTTCTCAGTGTGGGAACCAGACGGGAGGTGAACAGGCTTCCTGCGCACTGATACGGTCAAAGGATACTCTGCAGATCGCTAACATCCTCAAGGTTGGTAGATCTGGTAAGCAGTTTCAAAAGGCCGCCCTCAGTAAACCACCCAAGCAGGTGATAATTGTCTTGATGACTCCTAGCCTGACTGTTCTGCCTCCCTTCCCACGTGGTGTTCTCTCTTCCCTCCTCTTCTTCTCTGACTCAGGACTCATTTTCTCTCCTCCAAACCTTCGTTCAGAAAAAGTCTGATATCTTGCTTACCGAAAACTTACTGCCATCCAACCATCTCATCCTCTACTGTTGAATATGTTCAACAGTATTCTCAGCACCTTCTCAGTATTCTCAGAGAAGGTGGTTCAGTAGGAAGGGAGGTTTGGTAGTGCCCCAGAGAGAGACGAAATGAGCTGAGGCCCCAGAAAGGCCCCCTGGGTTTGGGGACTAGGAGCTTATTGATGACTTTGGTAAGAGAGGTCTCAGGGGCTGATGGGAACACAGATTCTGAAGTGGGTTGTGGAGTGAGGGAGTGGTGGAGCGAAGCGGAGACATGCAGGGCAGAGTCTCTCAAGGAGATGGTGTGAAGGGAAGGGGACAATTAGGATGGCACCTGGAGAAAGGATGTGGGCTGAAGGGACAAGAGCTGGGTGATGTGATTACATATGGATGGGAAGAGAAGGAAAGACAAGTGAGAGAGGGGACCCCCAAACACCAGGTTGTGAGAAGACCAGACGAATGGAGTACAGGAGCGGGTGAGCCCCAGAGAAGGGGGTGCGGTCTCCTCCCCTGAAGAGGAAATGACCTGTGAGAAGCAGAGAATGGACGAGTTTAGTGGTAGAAAGTCTGGGAACACCCGTCTGATAGAGCCTGTGGGCCCGAGTGAGAGTGAGCAAGGCGGACAAGGGGCTGGAGGTTGAGAGAGAGATTCCCTGACAGTTCCTGTGGAGAATGGGGGACTCAAGGGGAACAGAGGCTCCCCAGGCCACGCTGAGGTCCACCTCACCTGGAGACCTTGACTTACCCTGGTGTCACTTTATATGCAGCTCAACGCTGAAGGTGGGATTCTAGACAGGGTGCTTTCGAAAGGCTAGGGAATCTCCCCCTGTCCTCCCAAGATTATTCCAAATCTGCTGCATAACACCAAAAATACTTTAAACTGGTGGTAGTTTTTAATCATTTTTATTTACTATTATAATTAGCCGCCTACCCGCTGCGGTCATTTTACATCAGATGATCAGTAGAGCTGTACTTTTCCCCTTAATCCTCTCCCAACCCACCCTCCCCATCCTGACCCCTACTTTTCCAGTGGGAGGTGTGAGGTCTTGGGAGAAATTCCTGAGCATTTTCCAAGCTCCGAGTACTAACCTACTCCATCGTCCTGAGTTTAGCCTCAAACTGAAACTGGCAGGCTTTCCCTTGGATGAACCCTGCTGGTGGGGGTCCTGCCATTCCCCCAGCTGCCTCTGGCCCATTGCAGTCCCCGCCAGCCACAAAGTAAAGGAATATCAGGCCCCTGGGGCCACATGATGCACTGACTGATACCCATCTTCTCTCCTTAGACTGAAAATGGTGTTTGGTCTGTGCAGCCAGAGAGAGAGGTAAAGTGTACATGGGCCCTGTTATCATACCCTCATCAACCAGGAAAGGGGACCCCCTCACTGGGTCCCACGAGGAAGGGGTTTTGTATGGCCCTTTTCTTGACTGTTACAGCGTCTCTGGGACTCAGGGTCAGAGTGGAGAGTCTGGTACAGACGAATGGGACGTGCCTCTGTGTGTGTGTGTTTGTGTGTGCATGTGTGTGTATATAGACAGGGTGCCAGCATTCTGGCAGTGCCAAGACACTGTGTTCAAGGGGGTTCTCAGGTGGCCTAATGGTTAGGATTCGGCATTTTCACTGTGGAAGCTCGATCCCTCATTGGGGAACCATCCCACGTGCTATTCAGAATGGCCAGAAAAAACTCTGTTTGTCCCAAGGGAGGTGTTCTAGAAGAGCAAGATGGACAATGGGATATTATTTCTAATTCAGGCTGAAGGACTTGTTAGTCCAGAGGAGAGAGGGAGGGCTTTGGGGGGCTGTGGGTCAAAGAGCTAATACAACCCTTGAACGAACAGCTATGAATGCTGAGCCAAGGCTAAGCCCTTGCCTTCAGGCTGGAGAGGCAAGATGGACCTGTGTAAACAAGAAGGAAAGGAAAAGGGAGTGGGTCAGAGGGGCTGTGTGGGCTCCAGGCTCCAAGTCTGGCTTTCTGAATAAGCAGAGACACAGTCATTACGGCCAGTCAGCAGGGAGCCTGGGCTGAGCCCTGTTACAGCTGCAGATTTACTCATCCACACTGTTGATTGGACACATCCTGGTGGAATAGGTGCTGGGGCTTGGACGGGAGAGAAAAACTGTGAGGGCACGAGACCCCAGCCTCACACTCTGCTCTGCTTTCCTTCCAGGCTCTATAGTCTCCTCTATGCAATACAAATCTTCATTCTTACAGGTGAGGGCCTGGGTGCTGGGATGGTCGGGGGAGTGATGGCAGGACCCAGGGAATGGGTGCTCGTCTCTGAGCCACTTCAATCTCGAGCTACTCCCCAAGACTCCCAGAGACCCCCTCCTGAGATCGCCATGTGCCTGGCTCCCCAGGGCTGGTCACACTGCTCAGAACCAAGGCTGGCCTTATTTCTCCCTTTCCTCCCTCTGTACCTCCATGGAGAAGTGGGATTTGAACCTGTGTCTGATCTAAAACCCATGCATCCTCCCAAAAAACTCACAAACCAGCCCCTCAAAACACATATAACCAAGTCATGCCCTATAGCAGTGATCTTCAAATATTTACTTATACCTTTTGAATAATACCACTTCCCCAGTGACTCAGATGGTAAAAAGCGTCTGCCTACAATGCAGGAGACCAGGGTTAGATCCCTGGGTTGGGAAGGTCCTTTGAAGTAGGAAATGGCAACCCACTCCAGTACTCTTGCATGGAGAATCCCATTGACGGAGGAGCCTGTAGGCTGCAGTCCATGGGGTCGCAAAGAGTCGGACACGACTGAGTGACTTCACTTTCTTTTCTTTCACTTTCACTTTTGAATACCTGTCCCCTCACACATTTGTAAGTTAATGTCTAAAGTCTTTCATCACACATCAAAATAGTTTAAAAATATACCATTATTGCCATATTGTACATACTGACGTTTAAAAATAATTGTTACTTTTTATGTGTTTTAACTAGTCTGTCTTCATCTCCCTGCAGGCGTGGCATACTACTATTTTCAGGGGTCTGTGGGGAAAACAGCCCCTGCCCATGAGATTGCTGTGGAGTCATCACAGGTGTGGACCTCTGTCAGGGCCTGAGGGGACCGTCATGTAGCACACAGAGCAGTCATGCTGCTTGATCAGGAATGGGAGACCCCCTGTGTGTGTGAGGACTCTGGTGAAATTCCCTCTGTTCTCGGCAAAGTGTCAAACAAAGCCCCCATTTACCACCCCCAACTGCCACCCCCCGCCCCGGGCTGGCTGGCTGGTCACCTCAGGGCTCTGTGGCGTCAGCTCAGCTCGGGGCTCTGTGGCAGGAGCCTAGACGAACCGACAGGAACAGATGACCCCTCACGTGTGAGTAGTCTTGGAACATGGTTCCACTTTCATACGTGAAGGGGGTGGTGGTGAGCAGGACAGCTGCCTGGGGTGACATGTCCTCTAGGACACTCCAGGTCCAGGAACCCGTGACTGAAGCCCCTACTCCCAGCCGTCTGTCAGGAAAACACACATGGAAGCTGGATTTCCACTGAGAGCCACGTGCCGGATGAGGGGTTGCCCCTCTGGTGAAACCTCACAGCCCCCCAGCGGCATTGTGTGTGTGTGTGCTGGAGCACAGCCAGGGAACATGTGACAGTTTCAGGTGAACGGTGAAGGGAAGCTTTGTATTTTGTATTGGGGTATAGCCAGTTAACATGTGACAGTTTCAGGTGAACGTGTAGGGACTCAGCCATGCATGCACATGTATCCATTCTCCCCGCCTCCCACCAGCAGCTCTCACTTTGTAGAGGAGGAAACTTAGGCTCCCAGAGGGACAGTGACTGGACCCAGGCTGCCCAAGATGACACGCTAGAGTCACATGCCTGGTATCTGCAGACCTCCTACTCTCCCTCTAGTGTTACAGGGAAGAGAGGATTTTCACCGGGACGAGCTTCTCTGTGACCCAGCAACATGGAGACGTGTGGGCTACGTAGTTAGGGAGCGACTGCCAGAGGTTGCAGAGCCCCTAAGAAGGCCCAGGTGGGCAGGTGCCATAGGGCTTCCCTGATAGCTCAGTGGGTAAAGAATCTGCCTGCAATGCAGAAGGCCCCGGTTTGATTCCTGGGTCAGGAAGGTCCCCTGGAGAAGGGATAGGCTTCTTGGGATTCTTGGACGTCCCTTGTGGCTCAGCTGGTAAGGAATCCACCCGCAATGCAGGAGACCTAGGTTCGATCCCTGGGTTGGGAAGATCCCCTGGAGAAGGGAAGCGCTACCCACTGCAGTATTCTGGCCTGGAGATTCCCATGGACTGTATCAGTTTGCAAGCAGTTGGACATCACTGAGCAAATTTCACTTTCGGAGACAGAGTATATGTTGCTTCCTTTGTGTGTGTGTGTGTGTGTGTGTTTACTTAACCAAACTTTCATTTAAAAAACTTTATTGTCATCAAAGAAATATGTATACGTAGTTTGATGAGTCAAAGGTTTAAGACCTGGAAAAAGTCTGCTGTTTCTCCCGATCCTCTTCACCCACAATTCCCACAGCCCAGAGTGGAAATCTTTCTAGCTTCCAACTTTCTAGCTAAAGTCATTGACTTTGCCTCTGCTGTTCTAAATTAAAAGCTTATCTTGCTTTGTCTTGATTGTTCAGATTTAAACATTATCTAATGAATTATTACAACAAAAGGTGAGGATTTAGCTCTCATAACAACTGAACACTTACTGCTACCTCCAACACACATTTCACCTCTCTCTAGTCTTCCTCATGATTATATCCCAGGTTTTGGCATTCTAAATGTTTTGAGTAATGACATCTTTAGTTGCTAAAAGTTAAGTACCATTTTTTTTTTGCTGACTTTTACATCAATTTGGGTTTTAAGTCCCTCTCCCACACAGTGGGCTCTTTTTATTTATTTATTTATTTTTTTATTCACCATCTGTATTTATTCTTTTTTTTTTCATTTATTTTTATTAGTTGGAGGCTAATTACTTTACATCATTGCAGTGGTTTTTGTCATACATTGAAATGAATTAGCCATGGATTTACATGTATTCCCCTTCCCGATCCCCTATCCCACCTCCCTCTCCACCCGATCCCTCTGGGTCTTCCCAGTGCACCAGGCCCGAGCACTTGTCTCATGCATCCAACCTGGGCTGGTGATCTGTTTCACCCTAGATAATATACATGTTTCGATGCTGTTCTCTTGAAACATCCCACCCTCGCCTTCTCCCAGAGTCCACAAGTCTGAGTCTCTTTTTCTGTTTTGCATATAGGGTTATTGTTACCATCTTTCTAAATTCCATATAATTGTGTTAGTATACTATAATGGTCTTTATCTTTCTGGCTTACTTCGCTCTGTATAATGGGCTCCAGTTTCATCCATCTCATTAGAACTGATTCAAATGAATTCTTTTTAATGGCTGAGTAATATTCCATGGTGTATATGTACCATAGCTTCCTCATCCATTCGTCTGCTAATGGGCATCTAGGTTGCTTCCATGTCCTAGCTATTATAAACAGTGCTGCGATGAACATTGGGGTGCACGTGTCTCTTTCAGATCTGGTTTCCTCGGTGTGTATGCCCAGAAGTGGGATTTCTGGGTCATATGGCAGTTCTATTTCCAGCTTTTTAAGAAATCTCCACACTGTTTTCCATAGTGGCTGTACTAATTTGCATTCCCACCAACAGTGTAAGAGGGTTCGCTTTTCTCCACACCCTCTCCAGCATTTATTGCTTGTAGACTTTTGGATAGCAGCCATCCTGACTGGCGTATAATGGTACCTCATTGTGGTTTTGATTTGCATTTCTCTGATAATGAGAGATGTGGAGCATCTTTTCATGTGTTTGTTGGCAGTGGGCTCTTTTTAATATATTTTTTTAAGATTAGGGAACTATTTAAATAGAGTGAAATACATTTTTTTTTTAGCGTACAGTTCTGTGAGTTTTGACAGATGTATACAACTGTGAAATTGCCACTATAGCCAAGATACAGAACAGCTCCAGTCAGTTCAGAAAATTCCCCCACACTCACTAATACTCAACCCTTCCCCAGCTCCCAGCCCCTGGTGTCCAGTGAATGGTTTTCTGGCCCCAGAGTGTTGCCTTTGCAAGATGGTCATAGAACTGGAAACATCCCAGTACGTAGTCTTTATTTATTTGCCCACGCAGCAGGCTTGCGGGATCTCAGCTCCCTGACCAGGGATCAAACCCGGGCCCCCTGCAGTGGAAGCACAGGGTCCTAACCACTGGACCACAGGGAAGTCCCCAATACGTAGTTTTGAATCTTTCACTGAGCACAGGACACCTAGTTGTGTGTCGTGGTAGTTTGTACCTTCTCGTTACCTCGTAGTTGTCCCCTGTATGGAGGTACCACAGTCTATCCACCGACCAGATAAGAAGCATTTGGATTGTTTCTGGTTTTTGGCAGTTTCAGATAAAACCAGTATAATGTTCATGGACAAGTTTTGTGTGAACAAAGGTTTTCCTTTTAGGTAAACACCTCGCAGGGGAGTTGTGGGGTCATGTGGTAATGTGTAGTCAGTTTTCTAGGAAACTGTGAAACTTTCCAAAGGGGCTGGTATCCACTTTGCATTCTCACCAGCAGGGAATGAAGGGATCCGTTTGATCCATATCAGTTCCAGGATTTTCCTTTTTAAAAGTCATTCTAATAAGCTTGTGTAGTCATTTTGTTTAGCTCAATACTGAGGGTCTACATTTTAAAACTATGCAAACAGTATTCCTGAGTCATGTAGTATACTATAATCAGTCTTTGTGTATGATTTTTTGCTTTTTTCCTCTTTTTTAAAGTTTAGTTTTCTCTGTACCTATAATTAATACATCTAAACTCTCTATTAAAAACAATTAATCTCCTTTGCTATACACTTAAGACAAATTAGGTGGTTTATCAATATGATCATTTTCCTGGGGACATATTTCTTTTTTTTTTTTTCAGTTTTCTTTAAAATTCTTTAATATCAACAGTCAACACACACACACACCAAAAACCATGAAAGTCAGGTGATTTTAAAATGAAAAGCTACCTCAATTATGACTGCACAACGTTTAAATTCTAAATGAGCCCAATTATTACAAAGATCCTGAATTTCAGGAAGTAAGGATGGCTCAAAAGTCACTACAATCGTTCAAGTCAACCTTCACCACAGAACCATCACAGTTCAGTTCAATCACATCACCAAGGAACTCTCTCAGCTTCTCTACATTACCGCATAAGTGCCCCAGCCTGGAATAAGCAATGATTCTTTGCAGGGGTACGTAAAACTTATCTTCAATACAGAAAGGTTGGGGAGCCATCTCCATGGCTTTGTCATCTTCAGTGAGTACTGGAACTGGAAGGTCTGAGGTGAATTTTCCTGTCTGGTTGCCAGGGGCTACGAACTCAGGCTCCAATTCATGCTGTCTCAAACCCACTTGGTATTTCTGTCTCAATCTGCTCACTTCTCGGTACACTAGATAAATCACCACACGTCTACGGTAATTTATCTGCTGTAAACTTGGGTATGAGGTTGTATAAACAACTTCATAAACATGTTCACCATGATGCTCCAAATCAGCCAATCCAGCTGCTTCTGCTTTTTTCCGGAAGACTCCTATCTGGGTACAATAGCCAACATCCTCAGCTCCTGTGGGTGGTTCCCCCACACCAGTAAACTCCACTGAGTAACTGTAGCGACTGGCCACATCTAAAGCCCAGGTCTGAAACTGCATTCTGCTCCACTCAAATTTGTGATCTGAATCTCTAAAGAAATTCAATACATGCTGCCAAGTCAAATCCGAGCAAACAACAGTCTTTCTCTAAAACAGAGCCATGATACAAGGTGATTGCTAAATCCAGCTCTCGGGGATCCAGATGATCCCCTACACATGGGGACAGCCTTGACCCACTCCACTTAAGTCTCCTCTCATTGATATCTAGTCCAACAAGCTCTTCAATGCACTTTTGGTATTTTAAGATCGCTAAGAGGCAAACATCACCACACCCTAAGTCTGCAACCTTCTTACTGGGAACTTCTTCGACGTTTCCATCAACCACACTATTGCACTCCATGTTGTTTTCCGCCTTTGTTTTCAAGTTTCGTTGAACCAGAAGTGCAGCTGTCTCCTGCAACCCCTAGGAATCAGCAATGACTAGGCTTTCTGTAAGAAGCACCTCCGCGCGCGGCTGACCAGCGGACATTGCGGAGAGGAGCGGGTGCCGCAAAGCGGCGGCCGCCTTTTCTGGGGACATATTTCATGGAGCCCTCCACCCTTTTCCCACCTGGATGGACATCCTTGAGGTCTGAGGCTCAGCTGTCCTGGGATCTCCCTTCATTGTTTTCTTTGGAGTACGTCACTTCTTTCACATGTGGAGCCCATGTTATCTTTTATTTTGGGGGCAGCACAACCTGCAGATGGGCTGAGGTGTAGTCCTGAGATATTCTTGAGGGGTAGTCCTGAGATATTACCTGTTCGTAAAGGTCTTAGTGCGTATTTAACTCAGTGTGGCGAGGTACAGAATTTTAGATTAGAAATAATTTTCTTACAGATTTTGAAGATCCACATTTTCTTCTGGCTTCAAAGGTTGGTGTTGCAAAGTCTGATGAAACTTAATAGACTTCTTTCTTCATACCTCTGGCAGTTTTTAGGTGCTTCTTTTCGTCCTAGGTATTTCAGTATTTACTGATGACATCATCTGGGGTGGGTCTCCTTCATCCACTTTCCTGGACACTTGGCGATTCCTTCTCCTCTACAAGCGCAGGTCCTGTGTCTTTGGGAAAACTCTCAGTAGCACATGACTGGTATTTATTTGGGACCTCTCCCTGCCCCACTAGTTTGTGACTCTGCTCCTTCTCTCAGAAAGGTCTGTGATTTAGCTGCTGGCCCTCCGATCTCTCTGCTCTTGGAGAAACTCTTCTTCAATTTTATCTTCCACACTCTGATTGGGTTTTTAACTCCCATGATCATATTTCTGTTTCTGAAGCATTAGATGTTGTAGGGAGTGCTGGTGTCCAATGGTTAAGGATCCATCTTCTAATTCAGGGGATGCCGGTTCAATTCCTGGTCAGGGAACTAAGATCCCACATGACGTGGGGCAACGAAGCCCATGCCCAGCAACTAGAGAGAAGCCTGTGCACTGAGCTAGAGAGAGGAAAAAAAAAGCCAAAGCGCCGAAATGAAGAGTCCATGCACCTCAACAGACCCCGTGCAGCCAAAATGAAATTTAAAAAAAGGAAAGAAAGAATTAGAGATTACTGTTGGAACATTTTTATTTTAGCACCTGTCCTTGTCTTGTGAATGCAGCGTTTTACGTGTAAAGACAGCGATCATTTGTTAGTATGGCGCGGCCTTAAACCCCGTAGTCTACAGTGTCTGCAGCGTGCATTGACAGTGGACCAATGCATGACTGAGCCCTTGACAAGTCACCTCAGCCTTCTCTCTTCCTCCTTGCATACAGCCCATCGGGGAGACCTTAAGGCCAGTGTGGGGGCCGATGGATAAGTGCTACCCCGTGACCACTCAGGTGGGTGAGGGCTGGGGACTCCTCCTCCCCTGAGTGGGGTGTCTGTCCTGGGGCTCCTCGGTGGGCACACATGGAAAGAGGATGGGCCAGGCAGGGAAGGGCTCCCGGGCACTCTCAGCTGGAAGTGACGGCCCCTGTTTCCCTCTGTAGAGACGCAGAGTCAGGAGTGGGAAGAAGCATGACTCTGAGGTAAGTGAGGCCTGGTCAGGAAGGGCCCGGGGCTGGGGGCTGCCACCTGTCCGTGCTCCCCGAGACAGGAAGTCCGTCCAGCGCATGGGCAGGGCCCCAGGGATAGTGGGGGGCTCCTTTAGGAAACCTACAACCCTACCACACCTCGAGCTGAGAAGGGAGGGGCTTCCCTGGAGAAACAAAGAGCTACAGACTCCAAGTGTGCACAGCAGGAGGCGGGGGAGGGCATCAGATGGCCTTGCTGCCCACTTACTGCCCTCGTGCCCCTCTGCAGGCCATGACCCCCAAGGCAGCGGGAGGACCGAACGATGCTGCCTCCAATGAGGAGACTGCTGTCTTGTCTAGGGAGGAGGTGGGGCCCCCGGGGGAGGAAGCAGCCAGCCTCATTCCTGGTGCAAAGGGGGTGACTGAGAAGGAAGAGGTGGCAGGGACCCCAGGATGGCAGGTAAGGGAGCCTGGTGCTCAGCTGGAACACCATCGCCCTGTGGGTCCTACTGGGAAGCCCCCGGGCTCTGCAGGGTGGAGGGGAGAGGCCAGGCCCATGCCACCGTGGCAACAGTGGGGGGAGGCCGGGGCACCCCAAGACCACGGAGTCCAACCGCCATCCCGGCGGAGCGACAGCTCTGCGTGTGGCTGAAAGGTGCAGACACGGCCTGAGCGGCGAGGGGATCTGAACCCCGGCCTCCCCCGACTTCTCGAGAAGAGAGGCCTGTCTCCCCAGCTGTACAATGTAGAACCTGCCTCATCCCACCCCATGCCCCTTCTCCCTTCCTAGGAGAACAAGAAGGCCCAAAAGGAGTTGGCCATGTATGTTTCTGGTAAGACAGCAGATGCCACCCTGTGCAGCGGGACTGCCCTGCTCCCTCATCTCAGGGACCCTGCAGAGGGCACAGATAGCTGAGCTCCTCCCCGGCCCTCCTGGCCCAGGGAGGGGTGGGGACGAAGGCCAGGTAGCCTGATGCCCAGCCTTCTCTGAAAGAGCCCCCTGCATCCTTCTTCCTTCTTGAGTTGGCAGGACTTGAGGCCACTCCCCTTGGGCTGGAGGAAGGTTTCCGCCTTTTTAGCAATGCTGACCTGTTCTCCTAGCAACAGAGGGTACCCTAGCCCTGGGCAAGGTTCCTTCCAGCAGGGTACTCACAGGGCGTGTCTGTGTGTGCGTTTTAGAGGCTTCCGAGGTGGACATCATGGAGGAAAGGCCCGGGGGCTGGGTCCCCCAGCTCTTGAGGAAGCTCTGGCTGGGCTGGTTCCCCGCCTCTGACATCCCGAAGACTCAGAGCCACGAGTGACACTGTGTCCAATAAAACCACAGTTGATGCTTCTGCAGGCCCGGCTTCCTCCTTTCAGGGCCCTCAGGTTTCTGCAAACTCCGTGTGGCTGCGTCCACGGCCCCTGTCCCAACGCGTTGCAAGAGCACCGCCTCCCGCCACTAGGCGCAGACGTGGGTATGCTGGAGACTCACGGGGGCCCTGGCTGGTCTTCTGAGTCAGTGCCAAGGGGCAGACCAGGTTCCCTGAATGCTGAGAGCTGACTGTCATGAAGGCACAACTGGCTTGATTAGCGGCTGGTGCTGCTGACCTGTCTGGGGTCTCCCAGCTCTTAACCTCAATGTGCCAGGGAGTCTGCCTGAGACTCAGGTGAGCAGACAGGCATTAGAGCCCTTGGGCGGTGTCTGTGTGAGCTCAGTCCAGACCAGACTGGGGGCTGGAGGTGGAGGATGGGTGTCCCTGCCCGTGGCCGGGGTTCCAGGCTTAGAAGGTCTCAGCCTCTGAGTCGGCGCAGGAAGACAGGACCCGGCAGCCATCAGAGGCAAACCTGCTCCTGGCCGAAGGCGAAACAGAAGCCCAAGGCCACATGGTGGCAGAGCACAGCAAGGGTGAGGGCCAGGGTGTCCTCCTCTGAGCTCTGCAGGGCCTCCTTCAGCTCTGCCGTCCCGCTGTCACAGGACCCAAGGTTGACCCTGTCCCCAGGGCATGCCTGCGGTCCATAGGGGCTCATTCCCGGCCCCTGCCTAGCCTCCCGAGAGCCCGGTCTCACCTGGCCACTCAGAGGATGGAGCCCCGGGTTGGAGCCGAGCTCTAGTGTGGCCGTGAGTGGTAACTCCGACTGGGCAGGGGCTGGGGGATGAGTGTCCTAAGGGGCAGGGAAAGGGGGCCCATCCTATAAAAAGGCCCAGGGAGGTGGCTCCCTCCTGGGAAGAGCTCCGGCTTCAAGAGACTGAGCGCTATGATCTCACCCTGCATATCGCTTCCTAGTCCTGCCCCCACCTTCATGGGTCCACAGACTTGAGGTGCTGGCTGACCTGCAGCCTCTGGAGCAAGGCAGCTGTGGCTAGGCCTGAAATGTGGGTGTCAGAGCTGATGGGACCCGCTTATTGCATGGGGCCTGAAATCTCTCTCCAGTCAATGGAAGCTCCTCACAGCAGAAGCCCGGACCTGTTTATATAAGCTTTGTCACTAAGTCCAGTAACCGAGGTTGGGTCCCCCAGGATGACTGGGCATAATCCTTAGTACACCCTTCTCACAGTACACCCCGCTACACCTCAGAGCCTCAGTACACCCATGTGTTAAACGGGGTCAAATGCCAGGTAAGGATGAATCAGTCTGGGGGTGGGGGCTGGTTTTGGGGAGACTGCTGAGGCTACATGTATGCCAGGGTATGGTCAGGGGCCCCAGGTGGGACTCAAGTCAAGATGGAGCCACCAGACACTGGTTTATTGAACATCAGGGCTACCGCTGAGGTTGGGGGCTGGGTGCCTGCCTCTAGCGGGGCACCGCACAGAGCTGGTACGGGCCTGGGGACACCAGTAAGGCAAAGACACCGTGGTAGCTGGGGTGTGGATGCCCGGCAGGCACCCAGAAGCTGAAGCGCTGCAGGAGGCTGGTGAAGAAGAGGAAGAGCTCCATGCGGGCCAGGGGCTCCCCGAGGCACGCGCGGCGGCCTGTGGGCGGGCACGGGGGCTCTGTGAGCCTGGGCTCTACCCCTCCAAGACCCCCTCAGGAAGGGCAAGCAAACCGAGCACCCCCACCCCCAAGGTACCTGCGGAGAAGGGTATGAAGGCCTCCTGCTTGACGAAGCGGCCCTGGGCATCCAGGAAGTGCTCCGGGTGGAAGCGGAAGGGCTTCTCCCAGAGGGTCTCGTCCTTCAGCACTGACGACAGGTTGGTGATGAGTGTCGTCCCCTGGTGGCAAATGTCTGGCATGGGTGAGGTCTCGATCGGAGGCGAGGGTGGGGTGGGGTGCCCAGATCCCTGCCACCAAACACACGTGGGCACACACACATGCCTGGCACACACCTGGACTCTTCAAGTATCCGCAGCCCAAGAGGTTTCTCAGCACCGTCCCCGTCCCCATGGCAGGTGCCCTTACTGCCCCTCTGCACGGGCTCCGCCAACACTGTGACATGATCTAGTTTGTCTTCCCTGCCCAAGCAGGGAATCAGAGGGACAGAGCCAGGCCTGCTCTGCTCTCCTCTCCACGCCCACCCAGGCTGGGACATTCGGCACCTGCGGCCATGAGGACGGGGTGGCTCGGATTCCAGTCCTGGCCACACCTGGCAACACTCACACTGGGGATACCAGGTGGAAGGTGGTGCGGAGCCGGGGTTGGGAGATCCACAGGCCTACCTTTGGGATGTGGAAGCCCTGCACCTCGATGTCACGGGATGTCATGTGGGGCACTCCCAGAGGGATGATGTCTGCAAAGCGTTGCACCTCATGGACCACAGCCACGGTGAAGGGCATGAGGGCCTGATCCCCCATCTCTGGTCGTCTCACCTGCCCTATCACCTCATCGATTTCCTGCTGGACACGTCCTGGAAAACAAGCGTCCTCATGTGGTCAGACCCAAGGGCCCGGCTCCTGCCTCCTCCGGACGCCACTCCGAGGAGGGCGCTGTGACGTCTGCGCTGGGGCTCAGCCTCTGCGCAGAACTGCTGGCTGGGGCCAAACCAGCTGAGCTCAGGGGCCTCGGGCTGGCCCCGTCCTACCTCGCCCCTCCACCCCCCACTCCGGGCTAGACTCACGCTGCACGTCTGGGTGCAGGATCATGAGGAGGAGGGCCCAGGCCAGTGTGGTTGAGGTGGTGATCATCCCGGCGGAGAACAGGTCGGCCACCACCAGGCGAAGGTTCGCATCATTGAAGCTGCTCTCGGAGTTCCCCTTGGCCTGGGTCACACCGGGAAGGTAAGCCCAGGGACAGAGGTGAAGTCCTCACATGGCCTCCCACTCTGCTCTGGTCAGCCCAGGTGTCTGATCCCTGGGTGATACACAGGCCTGAGTTTGCCTCCTGGGCCCTCAACACACATCCCTGTCCTGATCACCTCACCTCCTTCACCTCATCCAGGAAGGCGTCTGTCAGGTCTCGGGGTGGCTGGGTCGGGTCCCGGGTCATCTTCTGCTCAGCGATCAGCTCATCAATCAGGGCCATGAAGGCCTTCTGCCCTGGGAAGATCTTGGCGGCCAGCCCTGGGATGCGCAGGAGTGCTGGCACAGCTTCCACCACCTGTGCGGGTCACAGCCGTGGGGCACTGGGACCGCCTGGTGCTCAGGTGCTCGCCAGTCAGGTCCCAGCTTCCTCCAGTGTCCCCACCATCGACCTTGTTCCTCCCTAGGCTCAGACCCTGCCGCTCTCTCCTGGCCCTGAGCCCAGAAAGAGAAACCTAAAATGGACATCTCATGGGTACCGGTCCCTTGCAGTGAAGGAGTCCTCCCACCCCCACCCGCACTGACTCCCGCCTGGCCTGTCCCATCTAGGCTGTCTGCCATCTCCCCACTTCCAAGCCTTTCCCTTGTAGGTGCCTTTCCCGGAAAGCCCTTCCGCCTCCGGAGGGGACCCGTTGGAGGACTGAGGCCGCCTCTACGGAGCTCCCTTCCTGCACCTGGCGCACTAAGCTAGATTCTTCTTTCAGCACATCCTCCATCACGTCCAACAGCTTGACGATGCAAGGATCCTTGTACTCGAAGCGACACCCGAAGGTCAGGGAGGCGATCACGTTGCTCACTGCTTTATTCAGGAGGTCCTTGGGGTTAAATGGATGTCCTGGAAGGGGACGGTCCAAGGTAGGGCGTCGCCTCCATCTCTTCTTTCCCAGGCCTCTCCAAACCTCCCAGACCTCCATGTGCCTCTGCCCCAGCACTCACTCACCGTCCTGGTCGGCGAAGGCGGCACAGAGGCAAGAGGCCTCCTCGGTCACCCACTGCTCCAGTGACTTCTTCCCCAGGCCGAAGTTGCGCAGGGTGGATAGGGAGAAGCGCCGCTGCTCCCGCCACGCGTTCCCATAACGCGCCAGGATTACTCCTGGGGGCGGGGCGGGCACGTGGGCGTGGCTCAGGTCTGGCCCCGCCCCGCTCGGGGCTCTGCTCACATCCCGCCCCCTTGGGAGAAATTCTCCAAGCTGCCCCAACCACACTGGCCTCGCCCTCCCCTCCCAAATCCGCCCACTTTGACACCCCCTTCCATCTGGGGACTGGTCCCATTCGCTGACGGCCCACATTGCTCCCCGAATCTCCCCTTCTAGGGGCAAGTCGTGTCTCCACTTTTTATTTTGCCCACCGAGACCCCGTCTGCCACGTGGGGAATGTGCTGGCCCGGCCCTGCCCTGCTCACCCCGACTTTGTCCTCTTTCCCGCCCACTCCGACGTCTCTTTGGCGCTCGCAATGGCCCTGGGCCGCCCTCTCTTAGTAAAGCCCCCGCCCTCTGCCTCATCCAATTTCTCCTTCCCCAACGCTTGGCACAGTCTCCTTTCTCCACCTGCCGACCCCTCAAATTCGTTGGCTCTTTCCTGCACCGAATGTCCGCGACCCTGCCTCCGCCTGCAAGGATGCGGCCTGCCCTCTCCGCTTGCCTTCGGCGTGCGGCCCGTAACCCAGGTGCTCGTAGACGGCCGGAGGTGGACGGTCGGAAGTGTCCTGGCTGTGGTACACCAGCGCCTCGCGCAGTGCCGCCAGCCCGTTGAGCACGACTACAGGCGTCCAGACCTGCTGCAGGCTGAACACGTTCCCGAAGCGGCGCCGCAGCTGCAGGCCAAAGATCGAGGGTGTTTGGCAAGCCCAGGCCCCGCCAGGCTGTGGGCCCAGCCTCGTGGCGTTAGCCTCGTGGCACCTCTGGGCCCCCCTCCAGCAGCGAGCAACTGCAAGGACTTTATCTAGTCTTGTGAGCCCCAGGGGGGTTACATCCACTCGTTTTGAGGATCTCAATTTGGATCAGGCCATCCTACTCATAGACCCATGTGCAAGGGTCACCAAAATGGTCAGTAGGCCAAGTTAGCATCCTATTTTACAGGTGAAGAAACTGAGGTTCATAGAGGGGAGTGGGGAGGCCCACGGTCTCATGGAGGCAAAAGATTTGAACTGTGTCTCTCTCAACCTCAACGTTCCTGATTTAAATAGGGCTCATGACCAAACTCCTCTCCCCCATTCTCAAAACCTTCCCTCCCAACGTAACCCTCAGGGACTCAGGCTCACATAATTTAAGAACTGGCCGGCTGAAGCCCCCGCCTGTCACTATGCTGTAAAAGCCCCCAGCCCCTGGCCTTGTCCTCTCTGACCTCTGTGTGGAAAATCCAAACTGTTCTTGGGCCCTGAACAAACGCCCTCCCTCAGGAAGCCTCTCAAACCCGCCTCCTCTTCGTGGCCCAGTTCCTCTTCTGGCCTGTGGCTTCACCCAGCGCCCACTGTCCGCTGCTCAGTGGGGCCCTAGGACCACCGCTGCACACTCCCCAGCCCTCCATCCTCACCTGGCTAAAGCTGGGACGCGGGTCCTCGAAGTCCACCTGCAGCAGGTTACCCAGCACGGGCAGCGGCGTGGGGCCTGGTGGGTAGCGTGCGGCCCAACGTGAGCGCCGGTGCATCAGGTCCAGCAAGAGCGAGAAGATGAGCACGGCCACGGCCAGGGCCCCCAGCGTGTCCCCAGACAGCAGCCCCATGGCTGCCTCCGTGTGCGGTGGGTTCCTCACCAAGCCGGCACCCAGGACCAGGCCAGTGGGGCACTCTCACTCCACCTCCAGAGCTCCACCAGTCTGGGGCCTCTTTAGAAAGGGGGCGGAGAACCGGCCTTTGCCCGCTGCCCTGCGGTATCTTGTCAGGGAGGTTGGGCTGCCAGAGGGCACAGAGAGGGGTCAAGGAGAGTCAGGTGCCCGGGTGGCCACTGTCTGTCACATGTGCTCTCCACGTGCTTCTGGAGGGTGGCTGGAGATCCCAAGAAGCTCCCCCTCCCCCGGCCTGACTACCCTGCTCGGCAGATTTCCAGCAACAATCCAGGGTCTTGGGAATGGATTCTGCCACCCACCTGTCACCTGTCACCCTCTAATGTGGTCACAGCCTCGTTCCCAGAACTTGTCCCTGTCCTCCTCCTGAGTGGCCTTCACCTCCCAGCTATGTTACTGGTCCTTGCCCCGTGCTGGAGGGAGGACCTAATGATCAGAGGGACCACCGATAAAGTGTTTGGTGTCCCCTCACTTCCCACTAGTACACTCAACACACACACACAATCACATACTCCTAAACCACATTTACACATATTCACATAGTGACTAGCCCATGCTCACATGCCTATCTACACCCCCACAAAACCACATCCATGAACGCCTGTGTTACCACTTTCCACTCACAGGGACCCAGCACCAAGGTCTCTAGTTCTCACTGGCTGCCTGGACTCCCCGACTTCCCTACACCTCGCGGCTGCTCACGGTGATGCCGGCACCTTCACGTGGCTGGCTGCTGCCTCAGTTTCCACCTGTTGTGGTGGTGGGAAGGTTGAATCTGGGGGTAGGGAGGCAGCAGGATTGTTTTCAGAGTTCCCTAATCACCCTGACCAGCCAGTTTGGTGGCCCAGAGCCCCTTTCCTAAGTTTGTTAGAAATTGGTCCTCGGACTTTCCAGTTCTTGTGGCCTCGAGGTGATGAATCTCCTCATGTAGGTGTCCATTTCCTGACTTGGAAAAATGTAAGGTGGGCACTTTACCTTGTTGGTTGGGCTGCCAGTAAGCTCATGGTACTATGATGGCTTAGCATAGGCTGTGACTGTCCTTAGGGAAGTGGGCCTGCTTCCTCCTCCTAAATTTGTCCTTCAGTTCAGTTCAGTCACTCAGTCATGTCCAACTCTTTGGAACCCATGGACTGCAGCATGCCAGGCTTCCTTGTATATCACCAACTCCTGGAACTTGCTAAAACTCATGTCCATATCAAGTCAGTGATGCCATCCAACCATCTCATCCTTTGTCATCCCCTTCTCCTCCTGCCTCAGTCTTTCCCAGCATTAGAGTCTTTTTAAGTGAGTCAGTTCTTCCCATCAGGTAGCCAAAGTATTGGAGCTTCAGCTTCAGCAACAGTCCTTCCGATGAATAGTCAGGGTTGATCTCCTTTAGGATTGATTGGTTTGATCTGCTTGCTGTCCAAGGGACTCTCAAGGGTGTTCTCCAACATCACAGTTCAAAAGCATCAATTCTTCACTGCTCAGCTTGCTTTATAGTCCAACTCTCACATCCATACATGACCACTGGAAAAACCATAGCTTTGACTAGATGGAGCTTTGTCAGGAAAGGAACATCTCTGCTTTTTAATATGCTGCCTAGGTTGTCATAGCTTTTCTTCCGAGGAGCAAGTGTCTTTTAATTTCATGGCTGCAATCATCATCTGCAGTGATTTTAGAGCCCAAGAAAATAAAGTCTCTCACTGTTTCCATTGTTTTCCCATCTATTTGCCGTGAAGTGACGGGACTGGTTGCCATGATCTTAGCTTTTTGCATGTTGAGTTTTAAGCCAGCTTTTTCACTCTCCTCTTTCACTTTCATCAAGAGGCTCTTCAGTTCCTCTTTGCTTTTGTCCTTGAACATCAGCTGTTAAAACTTCAGAAGACAAGGGGATGGAAACCAGACGGGGATGTAGTTTCTTGACCCTCACAGGCCTGCCGAGGACCTCAAGGAATGGATTCCTGGGCCTCCCCTCTCTCCATGGGTCCAGTCCACTCTGGCTGCAGCCCCATACCCTCTACTCTGGCTCTCTGGTTCCTTCCAGTCCTCCACAAAGGTGCAAATGCAAATCTTGGTACCACCCTGCCCCAGTGTATGTTACCTCCAGACTGCAATCATGGCTTCCAGGCACTCCCTCTTGGTCAGCCTCTTGCCTCCTCCAGGCAGGGGTTGGTCACATTATGCCAGGGTTCTGCTAGCCTCAGAACTCTCCAACAACTCAAGCGGTAAGATTTGAGGTTGAGTTTTTAAACCGGTGAAGCTGATGGGAACTCAGAGGCCCAAACTCATTCAAATGTAAAGGAATGGAAACTCAGAGGGTGGGGAAGGGGGCATTTCCTGGGCAGGGGTCAAGTCCCCTGCACCCCACCCCCCATCCCCAGAGTATGTGAGGCAACCTTTCTTTCTGAACACCGCTGGAGTAGTTGAGGGTCCTGGAGGCTCTCCCGTAGCTCACTGAGAGCCTGCAGGAGGCGCTCTGCCCTCCTGTACCCCCTTACCCTGTTCCCTCCCTCGCTCCCACCCCCAACAGTGAGAGGACCGGTTTTGCCCAGGTTGCCTTGGACAGGACAGAGTGCTTGTGGTCTGCAGGTGTGGGTCCTCAACATTTGCAATCCCGGCTTGGCTTGTGCAAGCGGCTCCTCCCCTTCCAAATTCCCACATCTCCACGCTCCTGCCAGGCTGGGGGCCAGCGGTGGGGCTGGCTGGGGCCCAACTGCCCTTCCTCAGTTTATCCAGCCTTTCCTGTGTCTTGCCTTGGCCGAGGCTTGGATTCCGTTCTATCCCGCTCTGTCGGGACACACCCTGTGCCGGTTGCTGGGCTGGGCGGAGGGATGGTGAGGGTGGGCCCCAAGAGTAGGAGTGGGAGCTAGGGAGGTGACGCACCAGCCAGCAGGTGCAGGGCCGGCTCTGAGGGCTGCGGGGACGTTTCCCCAGGCTGGAGTAGACTTTCTGGGGAAACATGGAGGACCTCGGGGGGCTTGGGACTGCAAACCGGGGTAACCTGAGTGCGGGGTTAAGGCACCACTGCAAAGCAGCAGGGCGGTGGCCGCTTCAGGCGGGGCTTTTAGTCTGGCAGAGGACTGGATCGTGGGAAACTCAGGTTCTTGGGCCTCAAGGAGGCAGAGAGACCAGCTTTGAGGCCACTGAAAAGACCAAGAGGGGAAGACCCGTGGGGAGCCCTGGGGCCTTCTCAGAGCCAGCCAGTGGTCTCCCATCCAACCTCAGTTGAAGGTTTCTGTCCCCGTTGGCAGCAATCTTCCGCCCTGGACGGCCAGAAAGTCTGGTGGTACTGGTGGGGCTGGCAGGATGGCCGTCACAGCTTTGTCACAGTGGCCCCGTTAAACTGGCCCCATCTACCCTTTGTTTTGCGTCATGCCTTCTGCAAACAGTCACCTTAATGGACGTATGAGGGCAGTAACAGATATGCTTGTAATTCAGGCAGTGCCATCCAAACACCGGGGATGGGGGGGCTCTAGTCCAGGACAGGGTGGCCTTGACGAACACCTCAATCGTGAGGCCAACGGCCTGTTTCAATCATTGTGCAATCGTAGCCTTGGATTACCCTGCACTCACACGCCAGGCACTGCTGTTCACACCCCATCCTCCCCACCCTCTGTAAGACAGGCGGCTTTATGATTCCCAAAGCACCGAGTCTTAGGGGTCACAGCAGCGGGTCAGAGTCATAAAGCACCATTAGGGTCGATCTCAGAACTCAGGCTCTGGACCACTGCACTTCTATGAGGCCCGAGGGCCAGCATTTAAGTTCCTGCAGGCTCACTGTTTTAGAGACATGCTCAGGCGGCCCTTGCTGGCTTCTGCTCTGGTGAAGCGGCTGGTGTTGGAGGGGTGGGCACCCCTCCCCGCTCCTTCTCCCCCCGACCCCACCCCCAACACACCTCGGGGCCTCAGGTGTTGGCCCCGGCAGGGAAGGCGCCTCCGACCCCCGGACCTGGGCCTGAGTCCAGGGAGACGTCAGCAAGATGGCGGGCGAGCAGCGCTCCAGGCCTGAGCCCCCAAGGCGATGCGGAGGAAGCTCCCTGGAAAGCAGGTGGGCAGCTGCAGTGCCCAGCGAGGGCGCGGGGAAAGTTGGCGGCATTTCGCTCACCCCCCCCCCCGCCCCTGCGGCAGACACCCCCTCAGTTCCCGCTCCTGCCTGGGGGGCGGGAGGAGTGAGAGCCAGCTCCCGCCGGTGCGGGGTCCCGCGGGCCCAGCGGTCTCACCTGACTCCGGTACTGCCCGCTGGGGTCCAGGCAGCCACCGCGCCTGCAAGTCGGCGGACAACGGGGGGCGGGGCCGGGAGCCGCGGGGTGCAGGCCGATTCCTGGGATTTTCTGGGAACTGGGCTGGGCAAGACGGGAAAGTTCTGGAGCTTGCCTGCAAAGCGTGAACTTGCCTCAGGCTACTTATAGGTTAAGGTGGTCACCTTAACCTTGTGTTTTTGAATCTGGTTTAAAAACTTAACTCTTCAAAAATACACCAACACTGCACACCTATCAGAATGGTCAAAATCCAGAGCACCGACACCACCCAACTCCGAGGGTGAACTCTCATTCCCTGCAGGTGTGTGGGAATGCAGACTGGGGCAGCCACTTTGGAAGACAGTTTGGCAGTTGCTTATTAAAAAACAAACAAACAAACCCTGCAACTTGTGTTTATAGCAGTTTTATTCATAATTGCTGAAGAGTGGAACAACTGTCTTCCAGTAGGTGAATGGATAAACTGGGGTGCATCCAGGAAACAGAACATTTAAGAGAAACTGAGCCTTTTAAAGGTGAAAGAGAGTGAAAAAGCTTAAAACTCAACAACACTAAGCTCATGACATCTGGTCCCATCACTTCATGGTAAATAGATGGGGAAAAAAACTGACACAGCGACACTATTTCCTTGGGCTCCAAAATCACTGCAGATGTGACTGCAGCCACGAAAGTAAAAGATGCTTGCTTCTTGGAAGAAAAGTTATGACAAACCTAGACAGTGTATTCAAACAGAGACATCACTTTGCCAACAAATGTCCATATAATCAAAGCTATGGTTTTCCAAGCAGTCATGTGTGGATGTGAGAGTTGGACCATAAAGAGGGCTGAGTGCCGAAGAACTGATGCTTTTAAACTGTGGTGCTGGAGAACAGTGTCTCTTGGACGGCAAGGGACCAGTCAGTCCTAAAGGAAATCAACCCTGAATATTCACTGGAAGGACTGATGCTGAAGTTGAAGCTCTAATACTTTGGCCACTTGATGTGAAGAGCCAACTCACTGGAAAAGACTCTGATGCTGGGAAAGATTGAGAGCAGGAGAAGGGGATGACAGAGGATGAGATAGTTTGATGGCCTCACTGACTCAATGGACATGAGTTTAAGCAAACTCCGGGAGATTGTGAAGGACAGGGAAGCCTGGGGTCCATGGCATCACAAAGAGTCGGACTCTGAGCAACTGAACGACAAAAAGAAACCAGCTATCGTGCCATGAAAAGACATGGAGGGACCTTAAATACCTATTACCAAATGAAAGAAACCAATGTGAAAAGGCTACATACTGTGTAACTCCAACCATATGACATTATGGAAAAGACAAAAACTATGGACATAGTACAAGATCCGTGGTTGCCAGGGATAAGAGGAGGGAGGGATAGAGAGAGGGAGCACAAAGAATTTTTACAGCAGTGAAGCTGCTCTGTATGATACTATTGGTGTGTACATGTCATTATGGGCTTCCCTGGTGGGCTCAGAGGTAAAGAATCTGCCTGCCAAAGCAGGAGATGTGGGTTTGAACCCTGGAGTCAAAAGATCCCCTGGAGAAGGAAATGGCAGCTCACTCGTGTTCTTGCCTGGGAAATCCCATGGACAGAGGAGCCTGGCGGGCTACAGTCCATGAGGTTGCAGAGTTGGGCAGGACTTAATGATTAAACAACAGCAAACCCACGTCATTGTACATCTGTCCAAACTCAGAGCACACACCACCAAGAGTGAACCCCAACATAAACTATGGGCTGTGGATGGCAATGATGTGTTGATGATGCAAGTTCACCAAAGCAAAGGCACTGCTCTGGTGGGTAACGTTGATACTGGGGGAGGCTGTGCATGTGTGTGGGGGCAGAGGATACATGGGGCATCTCTGTACCTTCTGCTCAACATTGCAATGAACCTAAAACTGCTCTAGAAATAAGTCTGTCAAAAAAATACAAAGAACTCAAGAGTGGCAGGAGTTGAAATGCCCATGAACAGTTGAGGCTTCTTGCAGAAGCTGGAAAGCTAGAGTTGGGAGTGAGGCGTGGAACAGGGCCACTCCCTAGTTAATGGTCATTTCAGGAGCCAGTTTGAGGAACCATCACCAGTGTTTTACTCAAAGTATCATCAGCCCAGTCAAAAGAACTAAAAAAGGCAAAATGAAGAACCAACCATCTGCTGTCAGGAAAGTATTTTCCCGAAGATACGTTCAAGGTTTGTGGTTTAAGCCCAACACCTGCAATCTCTCAATCTCATCTGAACTGTGTGAATGCCAAGACCAGACGGGATGCTAAGGAAATAAAAAGCCATCATTCCTATGCAGGTCCCGTGGCCCACACAGCACACCCACCCACACCTCCATCCTGCTGGAGGAAAATGAGAAATGGACCACACTGCTGGATGGAGCCATTACAGCAAAATTAATCTGCCATTTCTGCAGCCTCAAACTGATAAGCACACCAGAACTCATTTATAATTGCTTATTTCTATTTCACAACATTCCTTCCAGTGTTTCTGTTCTCTAAAACAAAACAAAGTCCATTAACATTGCATTATTTTTTAATAAGCTTCAAAATTCATGTTGATTGGAATTTTGTCCTCCTCTCAACTTAAGTAATCTAGCTATTCCCACATACGCGGCTGAGTTCCACCCGCCAGGCTGAGCAGCCAGAAATGTCCTTGGTTGGGATCATTCCAGGGTCTGCTGCAAGGGCCCTGGGCCTGCGGGAGGCCTGGGTGGCTGGGCCAGTCTGATGGCAGCCACCTCTGCAGCAGAACCAGAGCCAGCCTGGGGGCTGGGATGGGAGGAGAAAGAGACGCGTTTGCTTCAAACAAAAAAGGAAACAAGGTTAAAATGAAGTTTATTATTTTTTTGATTTTTTTTGTTTTGTTTTTTAAATAAAACTGTTTGTGAAACAGCTATTTTATCCCCACGGCAGAGTGACCCCTGAAAGATGCACTAACCCCTTCTTAAGGCCTTAACAAGATTTTTTTTTTGTACTTTTTTCTTTTTTTAAAACTCAGATATTTAAAAATTATACAATTTACAAAACAAAACAAAACAACACAACATAGAGAATCATGTAGCGTGGGGCTGCTCAACTGACAGGCTCCCTTTTCTTTTATAAAAATGAAAGCAAAAGAAGAAAGGGTGGAGTGGGTGCTCCTGGTCAGCTTACCCCACGTGACCACACCTGACACCGCCCCCTCCCTGTGTCCACTCCTACGGCTCAGGTTCGTCCCATCCGCCCTGGGGGTCAGGGCACAACAGCTGCCTGGAACATGCCCAGGGGCAGCCATCCCTTGATCCTGCCGGCCAAGCCGCTTTGGTGAGACGCTCGGGGCTCTCACCGGCCAAGGACCCAGGACACAGTTGTGACGGTGGGGCCTCCGCCTTGGGGCATCTGCCAATGTCCCCCCCCCCCCCCGCCCTGAAAAAAAAATAAAAATTTAAAAAAATAATAAATAAATAGTGTTTCTGGAAATGAAAAAGATTTATTTTTGTGTTTAAACATCATTCTCCCATTCTTGAAAACACGGACCATCCCCCACTTCCCTCCCCCTCGACCTTCCCACTTTTGAGACAAATTACTGACAAAGACATGGTTTGGTGTGGTTCGTCTGTCTTTCCAACCCCGGGTCTAGAGCCTGTGAATTGTGTGAGCTGGGCCAAGGATCTAAGCCACCCCTGTCCTTGTGACATCAGAGTTTGTTCGGTTCAATTTCACATTTAAATTTC